AGACGGCTTATCGACTTCTTGAGAAGAATTCTAAGAAGAAAGTAAACCTACAGACATCAGTCTTGTTTAACAAAATTACCTACTTCTTTATAGCAATAAATAAATAAATAAATATTTATTCTTGAAAGCATGCCTTGTTAACATTAAATGTGAAAGAGCATCAATACCCTATTCACATGTGATCACTCTCATTCCTACATAGTTCAGCTCTGAACAAGTTTCATAAGATATCACTGCTGCTTTCAGCTGTTTTTCACACATACTCATCCTTAATTGTAACACTTTCGAGTGCCATATATTCTACTTATCTGATCTGCATATTACTGTCCTGTATTAATTGTTTCCCTTTAAAAGACTAGCAATAATGATTACAATATAAAGTGTTTTGAGTTGATGCAACATACACAAATATGTGACATCCATCCAAAAGTGTTTGAGAAAAAATAAAATCTGCTTTAGTTCAGACAGTAAAATAAAGCAATGTGTGTTTTGCAGTGGTTTTTGAGATATCACCTACTGTTTGAGCTAAAGAAGAATTTTGGAATTTTTTGTTTTTTCTCAATTCTTTTTGAATGAATAAAGAATCTTGTCCTGATGCACTGTTTATGGACATCTGGAAATGAAATTCTGGCTCAACTAGTTAAGAACTGATAGAACAGGACAATGTAGTATTAAAAAATATGGAAATGAACAAAGTAATTGGCCATGCAAGTTGAACCATTTTTTTTTATAATGTGGGGTCCATTTTTATTTATTTATTAAGTAATCCTCTAGCATTTTTTCCATGATGGATAGAGGCTTGTAGTAAACTAATCAGTTCCATTTATTATTAAAGCACATTTTTATAAAATTTGTATTCCACTGTTCAAGTATTCCTAAGAAATTGTAATACACTTGACCAGTGGTGATTTTAGTATTATGCCTAACACTGTTAGTTTTGTTTAATAATTGTATCTGTATTTTGACACAGTTAATTTGCTATACTTCTATAAATACACTTGATAAAGCTTCACATTTGGTTTGTATATGTTCTACATTGTATCAGTCTTCTTGGACAGAACTGAATATTAATTTGACATTGTTCCTGCTGATCCCAGAATGGCCAATCTCATTATTCAAATTTGATGATGGGGAACCCACTTAGAGACTAATAATACTTGGAGACAGCTTAAATGTGTAATAAAGAAAAACTTTTAATATAAGTTTAACATAACAGCAAATGTACAATGTTTCAACAAGGTTTTGTCATCATCAGGTACAAGTAGTTTACACTGACCGAGATATATATATATATATATATATATATATATATATAT